ATTGTCTTTTTTGTCAAAGTCAACGATCAAACTTGATCAAAGTCAAAGTTAACGGATCAGGTCAAAGGGACAGACCTATTTAGGTTAACTCAGACCGATTTAGGTTGACTCGCTTTGATCCTAGTTGACTTTGTCTAATTTGAGTTGACTTGTACCGATTCTAAAAGGTTTCAAAATTGTTGACCATCCCCACGTGCGCAGGGGCACGTGACGACGCATGAGTTGATGGTAATGGTGTTTGGGTTTGTCTGGTCACTCCATGGGCATCAATTCAACAAAAACGACCCAAATCAACTCTAATTCAATCAAAAATAAGGTGAAACAACCAATTTAAGTGGATGGAGTTCTTACCCAACTACGATGACAAAAGATCGACTGCAAGGAGACGAATCTGGTTGGGTTTTATTAGAATCAGTTGAAGATTACAATGGTGAGGGCGGTGAGGCTCTCGGACATCCGTTGTGGCTTGGATCAAGGAAAAACAACTAATCGTTGGGTTTTCTCTGGTGGATATTTGATCGGTCCTCCATGATTGACGTGACGATTCAACAATGATAGTTGGTAGGGGTTTGCTCGTGGCAGCCTAGTGTACCTGATGGTGATGGTCGTGACAACCACCAGTGAACGATGGCCGAGATCAATGATGTGTAAGCCGAATATCCTCTCCCTTCTTCGCGACGAATGGCGAGCTGCTAGAGGTAGCTGACGGTTGGGGTTTGGTCGAGGAATGACGTCGGTGTTGAAGATGATGATGATGCAAACCACGACGGTTGGAGCAGGGATGAACGACAATGAAACAACTTGGAGGTGATGGAAATTTCTGGGAGCTTGGGTTTTTCACGAATGAGTAGGAAATAATTTGAAACCTTATTTGGTATTTGGGTTAACTTAGTTTATTTGGTTTAAGAGATATTTCTCAAATTTTATATTAGCTACTATAACCTAGCCTAAATGCTAAGGCTTAGGTTTTTTTATGGGTTATTATATGTTCAAGTCTTCTCACACGCAAAATTTTATTGCCTTTATCCACAATATCTCATTTCACCAAAACCATCAAACCAATGTAAAAATGAACACCATGTTCAGGCTACTCATATATATCTCGTGTTCGTACATTTTAGGATATACCTACGAGCATAAGATCCTCTAAGGACCCTCTAACTACATTAAGAAACTATCAGAATACCCATATTCGACATGTTGACACTCGTATACTAGCACGAACAACGTAAAACATACATGTGCAAGAGTGTAATCCATTTACCTCTAAAACAAATAACTGTGGTCCAAAATAAAAATCATTTAACACAAAAAGCTCTGGAATTCTGACTCTTAAACGGAAAAGCAAACATACAAAACCATGTAAATTCTCTATATGCACACACAGAAGCTCATGTGAATTATTAAATATATGCAGAAAAAAAGAACGATTTCCAGAAATATTCCACATAGGAAACAAAACCAAACCATTGATTATATTTCATTGGATCTAAAGTACAGACAATAAAACATGATCATAACAATATCGACAATTATAGTTGCACATTTGCCGGATTTCAATCCGATCCGGATCGATTTTTATCCGATCCGATTTTTTCCCATAGAAAAAAAACCGGTTTATAAAATAACCGGTTCGGTTTCTAACCGGTTTGGAGGGTCGGATATCCTAACCGGTGTAACCGGTTTCGGTTTTAAAAAAACCGGTTTTTTTAAAAAACCGGTTATAAAAAAACCGATTTTAATATTCCAGATTGCTCATAGGGAACCGATTCCCCCCCAAGGGGGTACCGATTCCTCACTGAATGGTTTGGCTCCGAGATTTCCAGAATGCTCGGAGGAACCGATTCCCCCATAGGGGGTACCGATTCCCCTATTCAACGGTCGAAATATTTGAATTTTACACTTAGGGAACCGATTCCCTATGAGAGGGTACCGATTCCCCCACGCTCCAAGCATTTTTATTAAATGTTTTCACACTTAAACGGCTATATTATCTTCATTAATTATCACTAAAGTTCAGAAGTGATTCAAGGTGTATTTAAGCAAGCTTAGAAGCCATTGATCAAGACAAGAAACATCAAGCAACTAGAATCAAGAGAGAATCAAAGAGAAAGCATCAAACCTCAAGTTCGATAAATTCAAATACTTAATTGAAATACTTAATTAACTCAACATAATTGAAATACTTAAATACTTCCAAGTTTGATAAATTCAAATACTTAAAAACTTCCAAGTTCGATAAATTCAAATACTTAAAAACTTCAAGTTCGATAATTGAAACAAAGTTTACGATAATTGAAATAAAGTTATAAAATAAACTATATTGCCATCTCTTCTTCATCATCTTCATCTTCTTCGTTTGGAGGGGATATTCCAAGTTCGACTTCTTCAATGTGTAAGTTTGCTTCCAAATCGGCATCAATTGCATCTTCTAGGGTGGTGATATGTTGCTTACGAGCCGCTCCATCCAAATAATCCTTTAAACAAATGCATACTTCCACCGACTCGGGACTTAGTCTTGATCTCCGTTGCGATATAACCCTGCCACTAACAGAAAAAGCGGATTCCGAAGCTACCGTAGAAGCTTGGACGGTTAGTAAATCACGGGCCATGGCGGCTAGAATCGGAAATTGTGCTTCCTTTTCTTTCCACCAAGCCAAAATATCCAAACTTTCAAACTCTTCAAATGTCATTTTTGATAGAAAATCGCATGACATGTAATTTCCCACTCGCTACTTGGGGTGGTAGTATGTGATCGTTTGGATTGGGAATTTACAAGAGTGTTAAAAGATTCAAATTTATGTTACTTGGACGTCTACTAGATGATTCCGCATTCATTCTCATTTGATCGTGTATTACACTACTTGATCCGTATTTAGTTAAATAAATTGCAACATGTCTCGAAAACATTTGTTAAAATAATTTATTTGGTTTTGGACAAAGTTGGGTTCATCATCGGTTAGATTAAAAGCAAACGCAATTTGTTCAATTAGTGTTTCACCTCACCAACATTTAACGTTGGGTTTAAAGCGGCGGCACAAGTAAAAATGGGGGGAATCTCCTTAAATATTTAAAAGTTTTTCCTTCATTGCAAAGCCAATTTCTTGAAAAACTTCGGTTTCAAATTCAAAGTCATTTAGTCGGGTAGCCAACAAAAATATTTGATTAAGAACCAACGGGCTAATAGGGTAATAAACACCGGATAAAAAAGTTGTTGCATTTTTAAAAACCTCAAGCAAATCGGTTATTTTGGCTATAGTTTCCCAACTCGAATCCGGATAAATGTTTGGGACATGACCCCTCTCGAAAAGCCGATCGTGAAATGTTTGCAATGTTTCCCTTTGCCTTAAGGCAGTATGCATCATCATCCAAGTTGAGTTCCAACGAGTTGGACAATCCAAATTAGGACCCAAAGCTTTTTTATTAACGGACTTACAAAATCGTTTATAATCATTTAGTCTTTTGTTGTTGTTACAAAGAACCGATTTTATCATTGTTTTAAATTCTAATCTAATCGGCTCAATAACCTCCAAACCGGTTTGCACGGATAAATTAATTATGTGTGCAACGCAACGGGTATGAAAAAACGCACTGTCTAAAATCGGTGAAAGTAATATTTTCAATCTTGGAACCGCGTTTGTATTATTCGATGCATTATCAAAGGATATAGAAAAAACTTTATTTTCTAATTTATAAAGACAAATTACCCTTTTTAAAAGTGTAAATAAATTAGCACCGGTATGCGGCTCACCGAATAATTCAAACGCGATTGTTCTTTTCATCATTTGCCAATTATCTTGATCTAACCAATGTGACGTAACAGCTAAAAAAGAATTTCCGGTATTATGATGGGAACTCCAAACGTCACATGTAAGCGACACACCATAACGGTGTTCTTGGAATCCTAAAATCATTTTTTCCCTCGTCGTACGCCACATTTTTATAGCATCTCTTCTAAGGGTAGCACGACTTACTTGAGTATAACGTGGTTGCATTAGTTGTTGAATTGTTGTCGTGAAATCTTCATCATCAAAGTGGTCGAACGACAATGCTTTTGTAATCACAAACTTTGTAAACGCTTATCGTAATTTTTTGTTGTCGTAAACAAAAACACCACCTTGCGGTGTAAGATTCGATTGACTAGGATCCGATCTTGAGCGAAGTGCCTTGCATGATTTTGTCAAATGGTTCTTCAACATTGTGTTTCCTTCCGATGCAAGAAACTTTAGACAAAGTTTACAACGCGCCCTCCTCGAGCCATTTGACATCTCACATAAATCGTAGTGATCCCAAATGTCTTTGTTTCGAGTGTGTTCGATCACTCTCACGACTTCAAGGTTTCCCCCGACGGAAGATTCAGCCGTGTTACGCATGATGAACAAAAAATTACAAAAAAAAGATTTGAGAGATGTTTAAGTGTTGTGTAATAAGATTTGAGGAATTTGTAATCAACCAAATACATCCCCAACCTATTTATACATGTTTAGGGTGGTAAAATGGTAGTTTTTTAAAGAAAAAAACGGTCAAAAACGGTCACAAAACCCCCCCAACGGCTATATTAACGGCTAGTTTTTTAAACCCAGACCGGTTTTTTTTCCGGATAAAAACCGGTTTTTTAACCGGTTTAAAAAAATCCGATCCGGTTAAAAAAAAAACCGGTTTTTCCCAAAACCGGTTTCGGATATTTTTTTCGCAAAATCGGATATTCGGATTTTTTGTGCACCCCTATCGACAATAATAGTTCGTATATTCAACTTCAAATGACATTCAATTATTGGGGACATTGACTTCTATGAAGCAAAGTCAAGTAAGAAAAACACTCCGAGTCTAACATATATACACATCTTCAAATCATAATATGCAGGACAATAGAACTGTAGATAGGAGTTAACAACTAAGCAAATCTGTAGGAAGTAATTTTGCGCATCAGCTGAAACAACAAAAAGCAAACAGAAACCTAAAAAAGTCAACATTAGTTGAGAACATCACAAGACAATATAGTTGAGATAAAGTGCATATCAAGAGACCAAATCCCATTAAATCTTTCCTTTTTTGTAGTTCCCTATCCATCTTTGTCTTTAATATTGATCTGACGTTCCTTCGGACTCTGGATGCCATAGTATTATACGTTCCTCATCCTCTAATCTTTCATTCAAAGAACTCAAGCTCTCAACATAAGCAATAATGTGCATGGTTTCCTTATAACCGATTCCAAGATTTCTAAGCTCTTGTATGGAGGGATCAAACAACACCAATTCATGATTAGAGCTCTCAAGAAATAATTTGCCATTTTTCCAAAACCCCAAAGGCCTCTCAACTCCAAGAAGAGATTCAACACTGAATTGTTTAGTCCATGACCCTTTGATAACCAATAAATCAAAAGACTTGTCAGCTCATTCTCTTGGGTAAAAAATAGCACTAAGCAATCCATTGAAGTCCAAAAGTTGCAAATAGTATTGTGCTAAACTCCCACCAAATTCAGGCAATGGTAAAGTTAAAAACTTTTCACTAACCATATCAAATGAAAGAATTATTTTACCGCTAGAATCCCCATCTGCCTGCCAATAAATAAACCTATTTACATAATTATTAAAAACAAAGTAGAAGCAAAAACATCAACCCCACGAAATGAAATTTCCTTCCATGAATCGCTTTTAAGAGAAAATAACTCAACTTGATCGATCGAATGACTATAAATGATCATGCCTTCTTCATTTTCCCATGTAAAATAATTATAAACAAATATTACAACTTTGAAGTAATCAGTTTGGGAATCATACCCAAAACCAAGACGATCAAAACTAGTGTATTCTAGTCCCGGAGGGCGTTGCCTGAGAATTGAGGAAAGATTTTGAACTCTCTGGTAGATGGGTTCCAAAGGGCAACATTATGTCCAACTACTGGCTCTGCTAAACACAATACTCTATTAAAAGGGCCATGAACTAAAGGTGCATGCACAAAATTCTTGAAAAAGGGTAAGTGAATATTATGTTTTACTCTAAATTTTTGGCCTATCTCGGTAGAAAGTTGAGAGAAATAATGGATGTTATCACGGGTGTCATTGTGACAACGTTTGAGGAGGAGATTAAGGTTGTTGTTTTCGAGGTTGTTCTAATGATGTTTGGTAAGGTTTCAAAAGATGAAAACCAAGGCTTACAAACGCACCAGAAACGGGTCAAAGATTTAACAAGAAGCTTTGAGAGAATGTCCAACACCAACATCTCTGGTAATTATGTTCTATTTTTTTATCAACCCTTGCATTTTCGTTTTCCCTCCTCTTTATCTCCTCTACTTTCTCTGGTATCACTTTGATGCAACAATCGACTTATTCCTATGAAACTGTCTTAACCTCCTGTATGATATTACATACTCATTTTCCTTGATTGAGCTCACATATTTTTTTACCCTTTAAATGAAAGAAGTGTCATCCGCCCAATGTGTGAAACACTTGAAAGGTCTATACACTTTTTTCACAATCTCTTCCTTCACCGCCACCAATTTAAGATCAGGCATGCTTATAGGCAACGCGGTCTGCAATAGTTAGGGAAACTTATTTAAAGCTTATGAGGATACAAGAATTCTATCTAATCTACTTGCAGTAGAATCACCACTTCCTCTAAACCATGTGAACTGGCTTTGAATTAGTGGTAGATTAACTAGATTGTTGTTCAAAATAAACTCCCCAAAACTTCTCATTACATTATTGTGGAAACTTACCACGATCCTTTCCGAATCTGATTTAACCGTGTTGAAATTCCCTCCAACAATAACGAGTTCACTACTCTCAGCAATTAACTCAGTAAAGTTCAAAAAGAAAGATATCCTCTCCCCTGGATCGTTGTTCTGTTCTGCACTATGACCATTCTAACTATGACCATTGTTCTGTTCTGCACAATTTAGCAATAAAAACGTTTGTATCCCTTAATGAGATTAGCCCCCATAGCCCCAATGGATGGTTGGAAGGCCAACTCTCCAAATATCTTCCCATCAAACGTCTTGATGTCCAAGGTTTAACGACCGACAATTTCGTTTCTTGTAATGAGGTCGATTCGACTCGAAAAAATGATTGTTTTACTCGACTCGACTTGAAAAAACTGAACTCGAATTGACTTCGAGTTGTAGTTTCATAAACTCGAATAAAAAATTTTCAAGCTCAAATCGAGTTATAAAATATAACTCAAAATGTTTAGTAATTAGTATAATAATTTTCAAGTTTGAGTTGAAGTATGAGTTGAGCAGTTCGGTATATGTAAATTACATGTGAAAAAAACGAAAAATATATATGTATTATATATAGTTATAAAATAGCATTTAAATTGGAATAAAGTAATTGCATGATATTGTAAATATTTACAATTAAAATTAAATAGAAACTTTAAAATTTGACTTGACTAGGCTCGACTTGAAAAATTTCAAGTAAACTCCGACTTATAAAATAAGACTGGTCAACACGAATAACTCGAATTTTTTTACTTAACTCGATCGAACGCTCACCCCTTCTTGCAAGAACACAAATCGTTCTTTACACGTTGAAATTACACGAGTTATAGCCCTTACTTTTTCCTTTTTACCCATCCTTCTTACGTTCCATGATAAAAGTGAAAAATTCATATAAAATATTTAGACAAAAACACATACAAGGAATCAAAATAACCGCTATAATTACATTCTTTTAGCATCCTCAATTTCCTCGAGTCTTCTGATCACCTCTCTCCTAGACGCTTTGAATTAAAACCTTAGTTAGGAGCCTCGTTAAAAACTTCCCTAAACTTAAATGGAGGAAAAGAGTACTTCTACAAAGAACAAAACAATGATACAAAGTAATCTCCATAGACAACACAACCGTCAGAGTTCACACCAATTCTCTAATAAGAGACCTGACCCGACAATTGAGGGCATAATATTAACCTAAGAAGTACCGCCAAACAACATATTAACCCTGAAATTATGACAGATAACAGCCCTAGAGATGCTTGACTATAACCACTAGTAGGATAAGACACATAAACTGAGAAAACATTGAGATTCAAGCAATGGAATCATGACAACTATACGTTTGATCTTAATAATAAGTTGTTTTCATTAGGTGATTTCAGTTTCAACTAGTTCGCTTATTCATCATCTGATTCTGAGGAGTTGGATTACGTCAATTATTTTCAAGTTTCAGTCGGAAAGAAAAATCTGACTCCAATTGAGAATGTGGTAATTCAAGACCATCAAACTCTGTAATTGTCGAAAGAAGTTGTAAAAGAAATTTACAAGAAGTTGTGGAAAGAAAATTTTAAAAAACTATAAAACACTTTGACGCAACAATCGACTTATTTTTGGTGCCTACGTAAAGGAAAAATATCTATGGAGGCACCATCATATTATCAAAGGAGTCAAAGGATAAATAATTAAAAACCTAGCCATTATGTTTATTTTCTTTATAAATTTTTATTGTTAGTAATTTTTTCAATATTTTCATTTAAAAAAATTAAAGTAAACATGACATTCCAATAGGAATAGTTCCTCGACCATTTAATTTTTTTCCAGTCATGTGATGAATGATACAAGGCCTTGACCCACAATATCTCATTTCAGCAAAACCATTAAACCAATGTAAGGATGAGCACCAATCTGTCCAGGCTACTGATATATGTATGTATCCCGTGGGATATACGTACGAGCATACTATCCTCTAAGGACCATCCAACTACATTAAAAAACTATCACAATACCCATATTCGACATGTTTGACACTCGCATGCGAGCATGAACAACCTAAAACAATACCTCTGCAAGAATGTAATCCATTTACCTCAAAAATAAATAACTGAAGTCCATAATGAAAATCATCTCACACAAAAAGGTCTGGAATTCTGACTCTTAAATCGGAAAAGCAAACATGCAAAACCAATTAAACTCTCTTTATGAACACACAGAAGCTCATGTGAATTATTATATATATGTAGAAAAAAAAGAACAATTTCCAGAAATATTCCACGGAGGAAACAAAACCAAACCATTGAAGTTGTTTCATAGGATTTAAAGTACGAACAATAACACATGATCATAACAATACCAACAATAATAGTTCCTAGATTCAACTTCAAATGACATTCAACTATTGGGCACATTGTCTTCTATCAAGCAAAGTCAAGTAGGAAAATAACTCCTAGTCTAGCATATATACGCACCTGCAAAACATAATATGAAAGTCAATAAAACTGCAGATAAGAGTTAACAACTAAGCAAATATGTAGGGAGTAATTTTGCGCATCCAATGAAACAACAAAAAGCAAACACAAACCTAAACAAGTCAACATTATTTGAGAACATCAAAAGATAATATAATTGAGATAAAGTGCATATCAAGAGACCAAATCCCATTAAATCTTTCTTCTTTTGTTGTAGCTCCCCATCCATCGCAATGTTCAAAATCAATTTGATGCACCTCCGGCTGGCCGATATATTTTACGTTCCTCGTACTTTTGTCTTCCATTTATCAGAACCAAGCTTTCAACATAAGCAATAATCTGCGTTGTTTCCCGATAAGCATGTATACCCAGATTTTAAGCTCTAGTGTGGAGGGTACAAACAACACCAATTCATGATCGAGGCTCTCAAGAAATAATTCACCATTTTTCCAAAACCCCAAAAGCCTATAAACTCTAGGAACATTGTAACACTCATAACCCATACAATTATACCTATACAGATTATAGATGTCACCCGAATTTCTAAAGTCATTTTACAATTCAAAAGCGATTTAAAATTTATTTTCTTTAAAATGGTAACTGATATTATAAAAATATCATATCATATAATTTATATTTAATTATAACAAATTTAATTCAAAAGATTTTTTATGAATAGTACCATGAACAGTGAACAGTTAAGAGTGAACAGTGAGGGTATCGGTACCTATAGCAGGGAATCGGTACCCCTTTAACATACTAGAAATTTTTTAACAAACGTGGTTACTATTTATTACTATTCACTACTACAATAATTTCAACATTATATACAAAACTCATAAAATTACCATTTTGTTTCCAAATTTGTTCAACCAAGCAAATAAAACATTAATAATTACATGACACTAATAAAGTCAACATTACATCTTAGGATGTCTTACTGATATTAATATACACTCCTCGATGCTTGTATCACTTGAACTCTTTATTCCACTACTGGATTTTAACATACGCGTGAAAATCATCACACGCTAAGTATATACTTAGTGAGGCAATTAAAACAATAGACAGTGCAACACAATTCATGTATGAATTTCCATGTCAAAATCAAATCAACATAATATAAATAAAATCATTTTTATCCATAAATATTGCCCACAATTCACAATCTATGAGGAACCCGGTATAGGAGTCAAATATTGTACAAAAGTGCTGAGGTCGAGCATTGCTCACCTAATAATGCACCGTAGTAGTGAGGTCGGGTTTTACCCACCTGACTTGTACTATGTATCTTATTTGACACTATAGTACTACTTAATTCTGCAGGTGCTGTACTATATGGCATGCCATTAATACCACTGAATCTCAATAACTTATTTGGGCATATAGTCATCAATTAAATCATCCATGGAAACGTATAACCATGTATAAACATTAGGGCAGTTCATATCCAAAATAACTTCCATATCAAATCTCATGTTGATAAAACAAGGTCGACTTATCGTAAGTCTTCCAGATGATGTATAAAACATATATGTACACAATGTATAAAACATGTATGTACCATATCATGCATGTATTGCACTCACCTTGACACTTTATATAATCCACAATATGTATGCCTCACTACGTTCCACAGTAACTCTTTTATACTTGATTTGCTTCAATCACACTTAAATCACAATCTATGTTAAATCACAAATTCATAACAATACTTATGTTAGTATTGTACTAACATAAACACATCTCATAACAATTCCATAATATACTTGGAACTCATTTTTTTACTAAATCTTTAACAGTTAATAATTCCTTTTCACAATGACATCAACTTTTTCAATTACATAAAATGGTTCTTTACCATTTTATCACTTAGATACATCATGATCGAATATTTTATCCTTTAAAACTACATTTCCATGATTTTTCTCGATTTTGATTCGATTCAAGCATGGAATCAACTTTCAATCAACCTTTTAACATCTCTACAATCAAATCCCAAATCAAATCTCATCTGAACACAAAGTTCTCCAACTTATAATTTGGTCGAATTTTACATAATAATCTCTATAAAGATTGAACATGTTTTAACCCCAAATTAAGCTTGAAAACGAATCTACAACCTCTAAATCATCAAGATTTATCATCAATTTCATGAATCCTATCATGAACATAAACCCTTAAATTTGGGATATTTGAAATCCAACAAGATTAGAAATAAATATTTGTACCAAATGATAGCGTTTTTTCGCGTAGATCACTTTCCTATTTCACGGCATAACCCGAATTCCAAAGGAATTGATTCAAAAATTGAAAATAAAATATTTTCTTACCTTGGAAGCTATCCTACGTCCAAGCTGATGGAGAATAACACTTTGGCATGATATTTTTTATTGATATCATGCTTATCATCCTTTAAAATATTATTTAAATCATTAACTTGGGAAAATACCAATATACCCTTAATATAACATCATAATTACCATAAAACCAAGATACTTATCGTTATCATCATTCAAATCATATCATCTCAGCATTATCATCTTCCAATAGTCAAACATGAACAAATAAGTTTCCACTTTACCGTTTTGCTCTTGTAATTTCCAAAAATTACAATTCAGTCACCTTAATCAAACAGTTCAAATTGAACATGAAATTAAACCATTAAATATTATTTCCTAACATTTTAAAAATGTGAAAATAATATTTTTATTCACTAATTTTCGTGACCAATTTGTAATTTTTCTAAAATTACATTTTGGTCACTAAACGTTTCAAAGTTTATACTTTAGTCACCAAACTTTACCAAATTTATAATTTGGTCACTAAATAAATCCATTTATGGAATAACAATATTATTGGAAAAATCACCACTTAATTCCTTAAATTTTTCCCAATTTTTTGCTTTGACCATCAAACTTTCAAATTTTTTATTTTGGTCATTATCTAAATTTTTGGGGTATTACAAACATATTCAACACTAAATTGTTTAGTACATGATCCATTCATAGCCCATAAATCAAAAGACTTATCAGTTCCTTCCCTTGGATAAAAAATAACACCAAGCAATCCATTGAAGTCCAAATGCTACAAATTGTATGTGCTAAAGTCTCACCAAATTCAGGCAGTGGTAAAGTTGAAAACTTTTCATTAACCATATCAAATAAGGTCATCGCTCATCAGAATCCCCAGTTGCCTCCCTATAACTCAACTTGAATCACTTTTAAGGGAATATAACTCGACTTGGTTGTTCTAATCTGCCATCAACCCTTCAACTAGATTATCTTCAAAGTAATTAGTAACAAACCTTACAACTTTGAAGTCATCAGTTAGAGAATCATACATAAAACCAAGGAAGCCAAATCTAGTGGAATCTATTACTGGAGGTTCTACAATTGATCTTTCAATCCATATATTTTACTTCGAGATAATAGTTTTCAGCTTTGTTTTAGGTTTTCCCATTAAAGATTCATCAAGAAGTATAAATTAACGCACTTACAATGAGATTCTAAGTAACATAAATATCATATTTGAATATTTTTAGAGAAATAAAGATCTAAGTAACATGCCAAACCTTCTTTTATTATGCAGTCATGTGATGTATGATACAAGGCATATCACATTTCAGAAAAACTATCAAACCAATGAGCACCAATCTGTCCAAAATCTCAATAGGTATCCTGTAAGGGCTATTCGATTCTGCAGACATCTCGTATCTTGTGTTCATACATTTCGGGATAAAGGTACGAGAATATGATCCTCTAGGACCCTCTAAATGGCATGAAAAAACTATCAAAATACTCATATTCGACACTTACATCCAAGCACAAACAACCTAAAATAAGACCTTTGCAAGAATGCAATCCATTTACCTCTAATACAAATAACTAAGATCAAGAATGAAAATCACCACACACAAAAAGGTCTGGAAAAAACATGCAAAAACACGCTAACTCTTTATAAGCATACACAGAATATCATGTGAATTATCATATATATGTAGAAAATAAAATTTTCCAAAAATATTCCACAATGGAAACACTTTCACGAAAGTACTGCTAACCCATTTCCCCCGTAAATACCCTTAACAATGGCTTCACACAAAACAAGACCAAACCATTGACATTGTTTCATTGGATCTAAAGTACAAATAATAATAACAATAGTTCCTAGGTTCAACTTCAAAATATTCACCTCTAAATTACATTTAACTATTGGAGACTTTGAGCTCTCAGGAGAAAATTCAAGTACGAAAAGCACTCCATGTGTGGCATATATATACACCTACAATCATGATATGCAGGTAAATAGAACTACAGATCAGAGTCAACAACTAAGAAAATCTATAGGATGTAATTTTATGCATCCACTAAAACAACCAAAAGAAAACAGAAACCTAAACAAGTCAATATCTAGGGCATGTATGTACAATTCAAACAATAACAACAATATTTGAGAACACCACTAGACAATGTAGTTGACATAAAGTACCTAGGAAGAGACCAAATCCCATTAAATCTTACATCTTTTATTTTAGTTCCCATCCGTCTTAGTGTTCAACATTAGTTTGATTCACCTTCGGCTGGCCGTCGTATTATATATTCCTCATGCTCTAATCTTCCATTCAATGTAACCAAGCTCTCAACATAAGTAGTAATGCGCATTGTTTCCTGATAAGCGTGAATACCAAGATTTCTAAGCTCTTTTATGGAGGGATCAAACAAAACTAGTTCTTGATCTGAGCTCTCGAGAAACAACTCGCCATTTTTCCAAAACCCCAAAGGCCTCTCTGCTCCAAGAATAGATTCAACACTGAATTGTTTAGTCCATGACCCATTCATAACCCATAAATCAAAAGACTTGTTAGTTCCTTCCCTTGGGTAAAAAATAGCACCAAGGAATCCATTGAAGTCCAAAAGATCCAAATAATATTGTTCTAAACTCCCACCAAATTCAGGCAGTGGTGAAGTTGAAAACTTTTCATTAACCATATCAAACGAAAGAATAAGGTCATCAACCGTACATGCTTGCCAATAAATAAACCCACTGACATAATTATTAAACAAAGAAGAATCATAACCATCAACCCCAGAAAATGAAATTTCCTTCCATGAATCGCTTTTAAGCGAATATAACTCAACTTGATCGATCGAATGACTATAAATGCTCATTCCTTCTTCATTTTCCCATGTAAAACAATTAGAAACAAATATTACAACTTTGAAGTCATCAGTTTGAGAATCATACCCAAAACCAAGGCGATCAAAACTAGTGTATTCTAGTCCAGGAGGGCGTTGGACTGTGGATTGAGGAAGGATTTTAAACTCTCTTGTAGATGGGTTCCAAAGGGCAACATTATGTCCAACTACTGGCTCCGCTAAACACAATATTCCATTACAAGGGCCATGAACTAAAGGTGCATGCACAAAATTCTCGAAAAATGGTAAGTGAATATTGTGTTTTACTCTAAAATTTTGGTCTTTCTCGGTCGAAAGTTGAGAGAAATAATGGATGTCATCACGGGTAGCACCATGACAACGTTTGATGAGGAGATTAAGGTTATTGTTTTTGAGATTGTTCCGATGATGTTTGGTAATGAAATGAGGGGTTTCAAAAGATGAAGACCAGGGCTTACAAACGCATCTGAAACGGATCAAGGATTTAACATGAAGCTTTGAGAGAATCTCCAACACCAACATCTCTGGTAATTCTAATCTAGTTTTGATTGATCCTTGCATCTTCCCTCTTTATATTCTCTATTTTCTTTGTGTTTTTAATAAATGATTTTGTTTGGGGAAAGATAATGAGAACTAATATGAAAGAAAACGAAGACATACATAACAGGGTAACATCAAACGTTTTTTTATAACAAGAAAACTACAATGGAAACTGATAATTGGTTACACTATTTTGATGGGCTTCGTCGAGCCCTTTTAAAATCCATTAGCTTATTATAGACAAGGGTTTGCATAATATTTACTATATATAATATATTAGTATTTTAAAATAATTAAATAATATATTTAATAATAATAATATATCTATAATCATTTATTATATTTTAAATGATTAAAATTATTAATTTTATAATAATTGGTTACATTGTTTATTATTAAATACTATATTTTAACATTATAAAAATAAAAAACCGCTAAAACTTTAAATATATTATAAATATAAATGAGTAAATTAACAATTTATATAAAATCGGGTTGGAACAATGATTTTTAACTGAAATATAGTCTCACCCCAACTCAAAGTTATCTATTATATAACTCGTCATACCTCGAACTCAAAATTTTAAAAAAATTGTAACAAGAAAATTATCATAGGTGTGGGCCTGGCTGAGCCTTTTGTAACTTCAAAAATTCATGAGCTTAACATAGATAGGTGTCACAACCTGAAAATAATAATAATAAATGTAAGCAATTTGGTGAAATTTTAGGGTCAAATTAAAAGTTTCCAGAACTAGTAGGTTATTTTAGAAGTAGAAGGAAATTCAGGGACCGAGACTTGAATTTCACCATTTTGTGTCAGCAGGCATTTCTAATAAATACGTTGAATTTGTTTCTAGGTGCAAATTAGAAACCAATTCTTAAAACTTCCTCCCCCCATACCTTCCTTTGAAGACCGATTTCTCCACCGTCTGACCACCGTTCGTCGATCCAAAACCACCATCATGTTTGTCGTCGACTCGTGAACAAAACCCCATAAACCTCTCATCTTGAAACATTGTCTAAAGTCGTGAATTTTGATTCAAAGTTTCAAAGTTTTTTTTAACACCATCGCCATGAAAATGATCGATTCATCGTCGATCGTTGCTCTATTTTCGACACCTCTCGAACCATCGTGTTCCTTGTGTCGTTCCAAGTCCACCGGTGTCATTCTTGTCTCCGTCGTCGTCGGCGCGTGAGGGAGGTGAGGAAGTTAAAGTTTTTGATGTTTGAAATCGAGCTCTCCACCGTTCAAAATTTTAAACCAAGCTTGGTAAGTATCTCAAAATCCCATAAAATAATTTTAGAAAATTTTCTGGAATTTTTCGGGACTCCCAGGCCATCGCACGCGCCGCCCCTGCACGTGGGGAATGTTCACGCATGGTGAATAGCTTTAAAACCAGTTGACCCGAACCGGTCTGACCTGACCTGGTCTTACCCGAACCGACTGCCCGACCCGACCTGTTGAGCCGTTGATCATTTATCGACCGTTGACCATTGACCGACCATAGACCGTTGACTTTGACCAAAAAGTCAAATTTTTGAAAAGTCATATTTTATGTTTTTCGACATCCTAAGTCCGATTGCGAGTCCGTTTTGCCAAATTATAGCCCGAAAGCCCCGGATCTAGCTTGTTCACCAAAAAAATGCTTAGTATTTTAGCGTTTTGCTTATTTATTTAAGATATGGTTATGGAATTGATCCAACAAGATATTTTTATGAAGGTACTCATGTTTCACCTGAACGAGGGATAGTTAGGTTTAGTGTTTTCCGTTCGTCAAATTTACTCGATTCGCATTCTACAAGAATTACCTGTAGGTTTCCGTAAATTATTTAAAGAAAGGTTAAGATTATTCATATTAAGATTCCAATATGGATTTTTCTGATTCATAGGATCTAGCGCTACCGCAGATTGTGATCGAAAGACTCAGTAGTATGCTTCCCTATCCGATTACTCAGACTGTTACAGGTGTGTTTCCTGACAGTGTTACCTTACTGTTTCAAATTATCTATCTGAATACTGTTTATTTGATATCTAATTTACTTCATACTTATGATATGATTTATGCTTATTGTATATTTTTATACCTGATTTCTGAATATTGCTTATTCGACATCTGATTTACTGTGTATTACTAATTTGATTTCTAATTCCAGTATTTCTGCATATGATTTCCAAGCATGAAACATTTTCAAGTTTTAAAGGATTTATCATTATTTTTACTTGAATACATTCATGTTTATTAATGCCATTGGGGGTATTGTTAGAGGAAGATTATCTGCAGGCTCCTCGACTTTGTGCTCAAGGCCTAAATGGTTGTGCCGTTGGGTGTATGGTTCTGGAGAACCAACACATTATGATGTGAACGGATGGGGGTAGTGTTCATGTTTTTAAAACATGTTTTGATAAATCGATTTTACTGAAATATTTTATATGTATGTTTTTTACACTATATGGAGCACACTGGGCTTTTAATCTCATTCTGTAAACTTTACCCTTTGCAGATAACACCAGACTGTAAACTAGCAGATTTGGTATCAGGGGAGATCAACTACTTTTACTTTTGTACGACTGTATATCTCTATATGTTTTTCAGTTGTATTTGGTGATATGTGTTTTGCTATCGTTTTGGATATATCAATATTACCAATATTTTGTTCCGTAAATGTTTTATACGGTTTTCTGTGGTATTTTGATATGTAAATGTTTTATACGATTTTCTAGAATATGTATTCATATATATTTATTGTATAAATCTTTATTATGGATAAATTTCATGTTATACAGAGACATGGATTTGAATGTCGTTTTAAATATAGAAAGAATATCTAAATGCGATATGTGACTGCCTAGTTTGGGTCTAATGTTCAGGCTGGGCCTAGGGGGTTAAATTTGGTACTATCAGAGCCTTTAGTTTTAAAAACTAGGAATGTGGCTGAGTCCTAAACTCAGGATTTTTAAGAAATTTTGATATTTTCAAAAATGTGTCATCATCTTTTATAAGTTATTTTTTTCAAGATCCCTGATCCTGGTCTGACTTATGTTCAAATTCTTTCTGTAGAGCTTTAGATATCTATCCAATGAGTGCTACTAGAGGTCGTAACCCAGGCCTTGGTTGTGGCCATAGTCGAGGGCGAGTCACTCGACCTTCTATCACGATAAATGACCCGATGTCACCACGTTATCCTCCTATTTTATATGTAGATCTGTCTATTTCTTATGATGATCCAGCCACTCTTGTGATATACCCTCCTATCACTGAATACGATGATACTGACATGGATGATGACGTAATTAATAGAGTTGTATTTCGCATGATTCGGAGAGCTGCTAGAGTCCTACTAATATGACCACGATCTAGATTTTGAAGTATTTGGTAGTTGCTGGAGTAGTTCCATTTGAAGGTATTACTGGTGGACCTCCGACTGACGTTGAGTATTGGATGGAGGATACAAAGATAATTATGGATGAGATGGATCTGAGGCCTGAACAGAATTTAAAGAGAGCCCTAGCTATGCTGATGAAAGAGAGTTTTAGATGGTGGCAATCGATTTAAGGTAGTATTTCAGGGAATCAGTTAGTATGGGATCTTTTTAAGACACGTTTTTGAAGTTTCTACATCGGAGAAAGATATCTGCAGGAATGATGCCAGGTTTTTCAGAATTTAGAACATGGTAATATGTCTATTATGGACTATGAGATTGAGTTTATAAGACTGAGTCGTCATGCTATTGGACTTATTGATACTGAGTTAGATCGGTGCTTGAGGTTCGAGAGTGAACTTAGGTATGAGATTAGGAGTCGAGTTGCTACCCACCGGGAAATAAATTTTGATACTTTGGTTGAGATACCAAGACCGCCGAGGAGATCGAACGAGTGGGTATGGAGCGCAGAAGAGATCGAGATCGAGATCGATTTAGGAGACCTTCTGGTTCCAATGATTCTTCTGCACACTCCAACAAGAGAGGTAGGGGTGGGTCTTTTCAGAGAGGTGGAGTGAGTGTCAGACCTGTGGCATCCGATTCTTCAGATGTTTCGCCTTCTATACATGGTGTTCTTATGGGTCGTAGCCTTTTCAACCATGTGATTATTGTGGGAAACTTCATCTTAGGGGATGTAGGAAGAAATTGGGTACCTGTTTTAGATGTGGTACTGGTGACCATATTATAAGGGATTGTACAGTGTCAGCTCCTATAATTCAGACACCAGCTCGTAGTCAGAGTACTGTTCAGACTCCAGCAGGGAGTCATAGTCAGGACAGAGCGCTAGGATTGGCTAGTAGAGGTCGAGAATCTCAGAGTAGGGGTCCAGTAAGATCTTAGGCCAAACAGCCTAAATTGGTATATACTTATAGGATTCGACAACATTGCGATGGGCCTAATATAATTGCATATATTGTTACTATTCATTCAATTCCCTATTTGCATTGTTTGATAGTGGTTCTAAAAATTCCTATGTATCACATTCCATTTCTAAGGGTTTGAATATTCCTATTGAGAATACTAAGAATTCAGTGACAGTTCAAAGTCCCTTAGGCAAGTCCATAGAGTTAGATCGTATTTTTGGAGGGTGTCCTATAACGATCCATGGGGAGATTTTTCTGGCCGACCTGATAGAGTTACCTTTGGAAGAGTTTGATTTGATTATTGGAATAGATGGATTGAACAAACATCGAGTCAATCTCGATTATGAGAACAAGAGAGTTGTTCTGAAGACCCTAGATAATCAAAACATTGTAATGATCGGGGAACGTTGTGGATTTTTGACGAATATTGTGTTTGCTTTGGTAGCTGAGAAGATGATCAGGAAGGGTTCCTAGGTGTTTCTTGCATATATTTTGGACACTATAAGTTCTCTATTTCATATTGAAAGCCTCCAAATTGTCAAGGAATTTCCCGATGTTTTTCCTGAAGAGTTGCTTGGATTACAGCCGGATAGGGAAGTTGAGTTTAAGATTGAAGTCTATTTTGGTTCCACCTCAGTTTTAATGGATACTTACCATTTGGCCCCAAAAGAGCTTAAGGAACTGAAAGTTCAACTCAAGGAGTTGTTGGATAGGGGATTTATTCGACCCAATGTATCACCGTGGGGACCCCCAGTTATTTTTGTCAAGATACAAGATGAGAAATTGAGACACTGTATTGATTATAGAAAACTGAACAAGCTCAGGTTAAAAACAAATATCATCTTCCCATGATCGATGATCTGTTTGACCAATTTCGAGGGCTTCTATTTTTTTAAAGATATACTTGAGATCTGGTTATTACCAACTTAAAATAAAATATTATGATGTCCCGAAGACTTCTTTTCATACTTGGTATGGACATTACAAGTTTTTAGTGATTTCATTCGGGTTAACTAATGCCCCAGCTGCTTTTATGGATCTGATGCATCAGGTGTTTCGATCTTATCTGGACTAATTTGTAGTTGTGTTCATCGATGATATACTGGTGTATTCTTGAATGAAGTAGAGCATGATGAGCATTTAAGGATTGTTCTACAGACTCTAAGGTAAAATAAGTTATATGTCAAGTTGAGCAAGTGTGAGTTCTGGCTCAGCGAAGTGACTTTTCTTGGACATATCGTTTTTGCTGAGGGTATTCTGGTGGATCCGAGCAAAGTGAAGGCTATTCTGAACTGGAAACAACCCAATAACGTCTCTGAGATCCGTAGTTTCTTGGGCTTAGTTGGTTATTACTGTCGTTTCGTTGAGGGGTTCTCCATTATTGCATCTCATCTGACGAAACTATTGAGGAAAGATGTTCCATTTGTTTGGTCTGAGATCCAACAAGATATCTTTGAGAAATTGAAGATTGTTCTAATTCAAGCCCCAGTGCTGATTCAACCTGAGTCTGGGAAAGATTTTTTCTGTCTACAGTGATGCTTCTCACTCTGGATTAGGAATGCAAGATAGGAAGATTTTTGCTTATGTGTCACGTTAGTCAAATCTGCATGAGCGTAACTATCCTACTCATGATCTAGAGTTAGCTACCGCGGTTTTTGCTTTAAAGATCTAGAGACACTACCTCTACGGGGAAAAGTGGTATATCTATACCAATCATAAGAGTCTGAAGCATCTGCATACTTATAAAAAATTGAATTTGAGACAGCGTCACTGGTTGGAGCTTCTAAAGGACTATGATTGTGAGATAGAGTATCATCCAGGGAATGCTAATGTGGTGGTCGATGCCTTGAGTCATAAGGCGATAACAGATCTGAGAGCCTTATTCACCAGCTTTAGTTTATTTGAGGACAATAGTCTGTTAGCAGAGTTACAAGTCAAACCCACTTTGGCCGAGGAGATTAAGGCCAAATAGCTCCTTGATAGCTAATTACTTCCCATTATTGATCAAGTTAAGTAGGGATTAAGTTCATAGTAAACGTTGGATCAGGATGGTATTTTGTGCTTTCACGGTCGTTATTGCGTCCCTAAAGATGATGAGTTGAGATGGGTTATTCTTCAGGAGGCTCATAGTAGTCCTTATGCTATGCATCCCGGCGGGGACAAAATGTACAATAATCTCAAAGAGCGCTACTTTTGGATTGGTATGAAGAAGAATATTTCAAATTTTGTAGCGAGATGTTTGACTTGTCTGCAGGTTAAGACATAGCACCAACATTCGTCTGGATTGTTACAATAAATTAAGATTCCTTAGTGGAAATGGGAGCGCTTTACGATGGACTTCGTTACTGGTCTTCCTCTGACTCATTCTAAAAAAGATTCTGTTTGGGTGATTGTTGATCGACTTACCAAGTCAGCTCACTTTATCCCTGTTCGGGTTAATTATTCTTTGGATAAACCGACTAAATTGTACATTTTTGAGATCGCTAGACTTCATGGTGTTCCACTGTCTATCATATCTGATAGAGATCTGAGGTTACTTCCAAGTTTTAGAAGGCTTTACATGAGGATTTGGGTACTCGTTTGAATTTCATTACAGCTTTTCATCCACATACTGATGGTCAGTCTGAGCGAGTTATTCAGGTGTTGGAGGATATGTTACGGGGTTGTGTGATTGTCTTACGTGGTAGCTAGGAAGATTTCTTGTTATTAGCCGAGTTTGCTTACAATAATAGCTACCAGACAAGTATTCGAATTGCACCATTCGAGGCTCTATATGGATGTAGATGTTGTATTCCTATATGTTGGACAGAGTTGTATGATATAAAAACTTTGGGTCCAAACTTGGTTCGAGAGAGTGAAGATATTTTCAGATTGATCTGTGATAGTCTAAGAGAGTCATTTGATAGGCATAAATTATACGTAGACCATCGATAAAAGGATATCAAGTTTGAGGTGGGGATCAGGTTTTTCTCAAGGTATCTCCATGGAAGAAGGTATTGAGATTTAGTCGTAAGGTTAAGCTGAGTCCGATATTTATTGGGTCATATTATATTCTGAAGAAATTCAGACTTGTTGCTTCTCAACTTGATTTGCCTCCCCATCTCATTCATATTCATGATGTTTTTCTTGTATATATGTTAAGGTGATACCGTCAAAATCCAGGTCACATAATTCAGGTTGAAGAGGTAGAGTTAAGACTTGATTTGTCATATGAGGAGGAGCCATTTCAGATTTTAGAAAGGGATGAGCGAGTTCTTTAGAATATGTGTATTCCTACGGCCAAATTTTGACGGAGTAATCGTGGCCCCTCAGAAGCTACTTGGGAAACATTGGAGTCAATAGAGACTCAGTTTCCTCATCTATTTCCATAAGGTAAATTTTGAGGATTAAATTTCTTGTAGAGGGGGAGAATTGACACAACCTGAAAAAAATAATAAATATAAGTAATTTGGAGAAATTTTAGGGTCAAATTAAAAGTTTCCAGAACTAGTAGGCCGTTTTAGAAGTTGAAGGAAATTCAGGGACCAAGCCCTAAATTTCACCATTTTGTGTCGGCAGGCATTTCTAATAAATGCGTTGAATTGGTTTCTAGGTGTAAATCAGAAACCAATTCTTAAAACTTCCTCCCCGTATTCCTTTCTTCCAAGGTCGATTTCTCAACCGTCTGGCCATCGTTCGTCGATCCGAAACCACCATCGTGTTCATCGTCAACCGATGAAAAAAACCCCGTAAACTTATCATCGTTAAACATTGTCTAAAGCCGTGAATTTTGATTCAAAATTGGAATTTTTTTAACACCACCGCCGTGAAAATCATCGATTCATCATCGACCGTTGCTCCATTTTTAACACCTCCCTCACCATCGTGTTCCTTGTGTCGTTCCGAGTTTACTAGTGTCCTTCTTGTCTCCGTCATTGCCCGTACGTGAGGGAGGTGAGGAAGTTAAAGGTTTTGAATTTTAAAATCGAGCTCTCAGTCGTTCAAAATTTTGAACTGAGCTTGATAAGTGTCTCAACATCCCATAAAATAATTTTAGAAAATTTATTAGAATTTTTTGGGTCTCCCAGGCTACCCCACGCGCGACCCCTATGCGTGGGAAATGCCCACGCATGGTGGACAGCTTTAAAATCGGTTGACCCGACCCGACCAGTTTATTGTTGACCGACCATTGACTATCGACCGACCGTAGACTTTGACCAAAAATTCAAAAATTTTCAATAGTCATATTTTATGTTTTTCGTTGTCTTAATTCCAATTTCGAAGTCCGTTTTTCCAAATTCTAACCCGAAAGCCCCGAATTGAGCTCGTTAATCAAAAACTGCTTAGTATTTTTTACCATTTTTTCTTATTTATTTGAGATATGGTTATGGACTTGATCCAATAAGATATTTTTAGGAAGGTACTCATGTTTCACTTAAACGAGAGTCAATTAGGTCCGGTGTTTTTCGTTCGTCAGATTCACCTGATCTGCGTTCTATAAGAATTATCCGTAGGTTTCCATAAATTATTTAAATAAATGTTAAGATTATTCATATTAGGATTCTAATTTGGATTTTTCTGATTCATAGGATCTAGTGCTGCCGCAGATCGTGATCGACAGACTCAATAGTAGGCTTCCCTATCCAATTATTCAGAATGTTACAGTTGTGTTTCCT